TTGGAGAGAAGAACTATCATGTAATACAGAAAAGTAAAGATTGAGCATGTATTTGGATGTTTTATTTTGATATTAGAAAATTAGAATTTGTATAATATTAAAAGCTAAATTATAAACTACATTTTGATGTCAAGTTTACTGACGTACATTATATAGTTTTTAGTTGAATTTTGAATGAGGCCATGACATGCTTGTTTGGACCCCATGCCGTACACATGAGGTTAAGACAAGAAGTATGATATGTATATATATATGTGTGTGTGTGTATATGTAAAAATACAACATTTTTATTACAGACATATGCACTAACAAACACATAATTGTGCACCACCAAAACTGCACATTGAATGAATGTTCCAATATTTTCTCTATCCAGGCACATCGAATGAATGTTCCAATATTTTCTCTATCCAGGCACATCGAATGAATGTTCCAATGTTTTCTCTATCCAGGCACATCGAATGAATGTTCCAATATTTTCTCTATCCAGGCACATCGAATGAATGTTCCAATGTTTTCTCTATCCAGGCACATTGAATGAATGTTCCAATGTTTTCTTTATCCAGGCACATCGAACGAATATTCCACTGTTTTCTCTATCCAGGCACATCGAATGAATGTTCCAATATTTTCTCTATCCAGGCACATCGAATGAATGTTCTAATGTTTTCTCTATCCAAGTACATCGAAAAAATTTTTTTACATCCTTGTAATTTATGTAACTCTTATTTCATTCAATAATTTTTACAATAACTTTTTCTTAACTTGTGATCTCAAACACACACTTTTCCTACTGCTATTGAGAAAATGCTTCTGCTAAATTTATAAAAATGTCAGCAGTTGGACATCATTGCATGGGATAATCAAATTTCATTTTACTGATGCTTGACTTATTTACATCAAACTGGACATTCTGACAGGTGCAATGAACCAAATAATGTATAACTGAAAAACAGAATAACACTTTTATATTTGTTTTAAAGTAAAACTTACCACATGTTCTGTAGGGTGTCAAATCACAAGCTAGCACCAGAGTTGCTAAAGTTTCATACAAAGGACCAAAATCTCTTACTTGAGCTGAGCTCCAACGTCGTGGAGTTGATTCCTAAAAAATAAATCTAAGTTTTAAATTTTTGTATGAAGATCATTCAAATCAGTGATTTTTCTTTCTTAAAACATAACCCTAAAAAAAATAGTATAATTACAAAGAAAATCAGCATAAACTTACAACTGATTCCATGTCTGCTCCTGAAACACCAAGCACAAAAACAAGAGATTTCTTGAAGAAACCACATTCAAAAAGATGAGAACATGCACTGATGCTCTAGAATAAAAAGAAATGTTTAAAAATTACATCACATTATTTGAACACTGATCAATCCTTAATTTGTTATAACTTTACTGTCTATTCAGAATGTTTTTTAAATTTTTTAAGTAGGAGAAAAAGCTAAACAATTCAAATTATATTTCCAAAAATTAAAAAGAGGTTCAGATGATATTATTATTAAGTTTATATATAGTGTGGAATTATCAAAAAAGTCTAGAATAAGTCTAAAAATTTATAAATTACAACTTTTATATTTCCAGTTGTTTCAGTTTAACACCACAAAAGTTGTTTGAAGGTAGTTGTCTGTCAGTAAATGGTTTACATGCGTACAGAGAACAAATCATTTGATATGAAGTGATAATGAAATCATACATCAGAACTACGTTTTGATATTGGTGCTTCATAAATAGTGCTTTTGAGAAGGGTATGAAGAACTATTTCTGATGCAAAATATTCATATAATCAGATCATAAAGATGTGTTTACATTAGAATTTTAGAATTTCCAAGGATATATTCATGTACTCCATGGTGTTGGAAAACAAAAGAATATAAATAAACTTGGGTTACTAGAACCATCCAGACATAGACCTTTAACAAGTAGTACCTAAGATGTCATACATGAAGTATGGCATCTTGTAACAAGTAGGAATCCACAATCATAAAGGTCAAAGGCAAAAGCTGACTACACGCCCCAGGCAATAGTATGCAACATAACCAATAAGAATCTCCATCAGAAAACTAGGCCAACATGGTAGAGATTCACCAAGGTAAAGCTTCTAGTCATACTTGACATGCATCAACTGTATACCTTAAGTAGCTGAAGAATGAAATGGATATTTTAGCAATATTAAGACATACCAGTCAAGTTACCAAGTGCACTGTTTATAAATTACTGTGTAATTAAAACAGGAAATGGGAAAACATAGTTTTCCTACAATAGATGGATTATGGAAACAATGCAGGGAAGAATAGTGCACTTTGAGTATGGCAGCCTTTTGCATTGGAAAATATATTATTGGGCTATTGCCAAGGTGCACAGTCACCAGATAAAGCTTGACAGAATGTGGCAACATGGACTGAAATGATGTGATGATGTTTCAAAATCAATTTAATATTCCATAATCAATCTCTATTAGTTTACCCATTCTCAAGTGAATAACATTAATAAGACAGAATTAGTGCAGACTTATCAGAATATTAAAAATGTGTCTTATCAATATCTTCTGCTTCTACTGTGTCCTTCCTCAGATCCTAGACAGGCTGAAAAAATGCCCCCACCCCCCCCAAAAAAAAGAAGGAAGAGGCAAAAGATGTCCACATGAAAAATATTTTTCATTTAAAACAAAAAGTTTTCATCAGTCTATCAATAAATAACATTCATACACCTAAAATCTTGCATTAAAAAAAAAGTTGTGCACGAAATGATTTAAGATTTGTGAATGGGCCTATCGATAACAGACAAAACCTGTTCCAAAAGTAGATATGTTAATTGTAAAAAAATGTGAAAACAAAACTACATGTTTCAGCCTTCCACACCTAGACTGGCTTTGTATTTTTGTTATGATTCATGTAAAACTGATAACTGGAGAAGTAAAATGATGTGTAAGTAACATATTTAATTCAAACAAGTGCAAATTGTGTTTATGAAACAACTACGTCCTCCACTAATGTTATACTGTATGTTTAAGTCCCTTTTAATCAGGTTTAGAACTCTGTATAAGTACCTGCTGAATAAGTTTGATCAAAATTCATCCAATTAATCTTGAGATATCCTGTCCACAAGATCGAAACGGATGGACAGACAGGGGCAAACCAATATGCCCCATTGTGCTTTGAAGTAGTGTCATAAGAACTCCTTATGGAAATGATAAATGTACTTAAGAGGTTGCTGCCTTGCTTTATGTTCACACATATTTATATAATATTTATTTGACTCGGATAAAAATTAAAAAATCATATCCAAGTGAATGAAATAATAAAGATTCATCAATTTAGTAATTTACAGTTTCAGGTTCACATTGATTTGGGACACTGATATATAGAAACAATTAAAATTAAAAAATATGAACCTCTAATTTACAGTACTGAAATATAAAAGTTTAAGATTACATCCAGCAAAATTATTAAATTCCATTAACTCATCATAATTAATTCATACATCAAACTTCATTGAGCCAACAGTTTTTGTACATTTCATTTTTTTGGAAGTGCTTTTCATTTACTTATTTTATCTACTTTATACCGACATTATGTCTTATGCCAAATACAGATTGTTTAAAAAATATCAAAATCTTACCATCTGAGAATATGAGCTAAACAGCCTGAAATACTGTGAACAGCTGCGACAATTGTCTGGAACTCCTTGGTTCAATAAACTCACTAAGTGTACTATCACTTTATTCAAACTGTGAGATGTCTGGAACAAAAGGGATTACATTTTATCACATATATAATCAGCAAGTGTATTACCCACAATGAAAGTTTTAACACATTTCAAAAATGTCCGATTTGGAAGTATCTTATTTTTCTTTCTGAGTTAAAATATCAAAATTGGATAGAAAAACAAGTCTCATTAACAACAATAAATGTTTTATATGATAATATACTTCCATAACTGATCGTAGTACAGATTTTATCCTTCAATATTTAAAAGCAAATTTATTTATGGTAGTTATTTTACTGCAACCTAGTGGCCGACATTTCTTTGTGAGAGATAACATTTTGACAAGGTTCTGTCATCATCATGGTTAGCAGATGACAATCCACTTGCAACAAATTATACCGATCTTTCTGTCACAAGATCCATGAACATTCAGTTATTATAAGGAGCATTTAATTATGTGCTAGGTTTATCCTTGGAATACCACAGACCTAGGACTACATTTATAATAATTTTCACCAGTTGATATTTGTGATAGTACTGAGGTAATACCACTATTACTTACTATTAATAGTGTAATTTAACCTGATAACTTTTATATTAAAATTTACACACCATCACAGTGAAACAAAATATACTCCATGATAAAACACTACGATTTTTGGCTTAATACATCAGTAGTTAGTGTAATACATAGAAGCACACAGTTTTAATATGTACATGTTTGTATAATATGTACACATATTTCACAACTACTTGTATTACTTTAGTATAAATGGTATAAGTTGACATTGTTTTGTTACATGGATAGAGAAAACATTGGAACATTCATTCAATGTGTCTATCCATGACATTGAATGAATGTTCCACTGTTTTCACCTGGATAGAGAAAACATTGGAACATTCATTCGATGTGTCTGGATAGAGAAAACATTGGAACATTCATTCAATGTGCATGGATAGAGAAAACATTGGAACATTCATTCGATGTGTCTGGATAGAGAAAATATTGGAACATTCATTCGATGTGTCTGGATAGAGAAAATATTGGAACATTCATTCAATGTACCTGGATAGA